GGATGGAGCTAACTCTCTAACAGTGTAGCTCATTGACAATGGTCGAGTCAGATCATGTTTATAGCATTTTAAAGTCTTGTATAGAAACGTGTTAGTGTTTGTTTGGTCTGTTTTTTTTGTAACGCACTCTTATGACTTGCTTATACAAGCATGACTTTCATGTAGAAGCACACTATGAGAATAAATAACCTCTTATGTATAACCATTGACTGGTTAACCCTTCAAAGCCTGAACTGTGAAACGATTACCTAAAAATTCAAACTTTAGTGAAAATGGAGTTTTTATTGAACCTTTTAACGACATTTAAACAAAAAAAAATTAACTATTAATTTGCATCCTGCATATTTTTGCAAGTTATTCCTCATAAATGAATCAGAAGGAACATATCTCACTGATGATGTAGACGTCAGGATGATGTAAACCCACGAAAACTTTAAACGGTTGAAGACGGACCTGCAGCTGTTGTTGCTGAAGTTATTCATTTTATGTTTGTTCATAGAGCCCAAAAGGATAATTATAGATGACGTAGAAATAAAAATAATTTCTGGATGTCAAGGGGTGGGTGATGGGGGGTGCACACAAGTATGCTGTGCATGGAGTAATGGTTTTCACCCATTATTTTTCAGGTGGATTGGGAGCAATAATTACCCTGTAATTTTAATTCATTTGTAATTTAAAAAAATCTTTCTATAAATCAGATGCTATATTTGATGCAGCTCTTGCTTTCCATAAAAAAATATAAAATTGTTGGTCCAAACTGACAATTTAACACAATTTATGTTTTAGTACATTTTTTGTGCTCATTTCAAGTGATTTGACCCTGTGAACCAGGAGGTGGATTAATGTCTTTTAAAGAAACTGCTGCTGAAAAAAGTGTTTTTTCCAAGTGATCCTTTCATTTAATTATTTTTTTTATTTTATATATTTGCTATTCAGCCTATATGGTATACCTGTATATTTGTGCATATGGCAGTTGTGGGGCTTTGTAGTATTTGTATTTATCATGGATCAAATAATATATTGAACAAGGAAACTAATAATATAAATTATATTAAAATCGGTTTTATGCTTTTAAAAAAATGCTGTCCTGATTGAGTTTTTAATTTTTTTATTTTATAATACAGTACAATTTTCAAGCAGTTCAGCTCACTCATTCATATGCTGTTACACAACATATGAATATTTGTTTGGGGTCTATTAGCAGAATTATGCAAATTCTGTGATATATAGCCGGATGTGCTTCTTGACACCAGGCAAGGCAGATGACTGCTCGGGGCACCGGGTGCCTGGTAGTGCCCTGAGGGCTGAGAAACCTTAAACTACAGCAGTGGCATCTGGACCTTCAACGGATCCACTTGTTCATAGAAGCCTCGACAGAAATAGTCTCAGTGTGTGGTCGCCTGCTGCGACCACACACTGCGATTAAACAAAAGGCAGTCAACATCCAAAGAAAAGCTTTGAATGTCCTTCAAGAAGCCTGGAGAACTTTTCCTGAAGATTACTTAAAATAATGTAAAATAATAAAGCTGCCTAAGAGAGTTCAGGCTGTGACTTTCAATAACTGTACAAACTCTATTTTTGGTATTTATATCCTCATATGTTTGCAAACCTTTCAGTAAACCAGTGCATCTATTCCTCTTGTTTCTGTCAAAGCATAACAGAATGAGGAGTTACTTTTTCACAGCACTCTATAGTATTAACACTGCATAACCAGACAACCTGGTCTTGGTCACTGTTGCTAAAATAAACATGGTGTCTGCTGTAGTAATGTTTTCCTTGTTGTTTTAGAGGACTGCTGTTGGTGCTGTCAGACTACTCATAACATAATGGTGATGAATGCTGGTTGGAGGGGCACCAACAGACTCCACAATGCCCACTGTGCACAGCTAACAACTGTAGACTGCTCTAATAAAAAGCTCCAAAATGCTGTCGGTTAACCAGCGCGTCTCCAGCAGCACCACAGCCTCCCTGATAGCAAATGTAAAGCAGAGCATCAATGCTGCCCTGACCCACACTGTAAACTCTGTGTGTGTGTCTTTATCCCGGAAGATGACTGGGTGAACTCACCTGATACACCACATAGGGGACAAGGGTGTAATGTAAAGAAAAGGACGCATGCGCAGTTACAGCACTTACTGCACTGTAGTCTCTATGAGATAAAATAGGCTTGTGTGTGTTTATGGGGAGAAAATCAGTGTGTGTGTGACTTTGAGAAACAGATGAAAGGCGCGGATAAATGCGCCTTTAAATGCACGTGCGTGTGTGCTTACACGAGAGAGTGAGCGCGAGCAAGTGGCTGAGCGGGCTGAAGAACAATGGATGGGACTTGATCCTCAAAGCCAGCTTCACCTCAAATAGGAGGAGAGCAAAATGGGGGAAAGGGGAGGGGGAGGAATGGGGGGGAGGCGGTGAGCGTCAAAGCGGTGCACTGATGGAGGATAGGAGGGGATATTTCTTTACTGGATGAAACGGCAGTGAGAAAGCCAAAGGTGGTGCGGCAAGAGCAGGAACGCCGATGAAACACCTGCTTATAATCGAGCGGCTTTAAAAAGCCAGGGCCGGCCACGCGTAAATAAAGGCAAATAAATAAATAACTCCATCATATAGCGTCATCCGCAGTGGAGGAGGCTCACTCCTCTCTCTCCTTGCACCACCTCAAGGCTGAGGAACCTGCGTCAAGACGCGGAGAGTGAGACGATGCAGCATCTGCTCAGCGCTTTCAAAATAAAATCTTTATTTTATTATTATTTTTTTTTTGCTGGCTGAGCCTGTACTCCGCAGTGAAAAATGCCAGAGAAGATTCATCATAGCTGACCGCCTTAGTGCTTAGTGCCTGTACACGAAAAGAAGTTAAACATGTTGGATTTTCTCTGTTAACCATGAAAGTATCTGTGTAGAACAGAACGAGTAAGAAGTTCTTTCTGCGCATCCATTATACTTATAAAGAAAGAATTCCTGAGCTCAGTTTTTATTTGGTACATCTTGCTGTTGTTGTCTAGACTGAACTAGAGAAATCAAAAAGAGACTTTCAACCTTGCTTTCATCTCTACCTGCACGTTAATGCTTCAGTCCAATAGCACTGCAGTTACCAAAGTAACCAGGCTTATTGACATCCATGATGATCCTGAGGAGCTGTCTTAAGGGGTTGCCGTATTAAAATCTATTTAGATCTCTGAAGTTTCCTTTTTTGTGACTACACAGAAGCCCTTAGGCTCCACCAGTAACCCTCACAGGCTAAAACAGCTTTTAGGTCTGAAAAGTTAAGCCACAATTGCTCTCACAATTACTCCTCTGGTTGTAAAGCAGAAGTACAGTTGTTTAGAATTACCTGGGACCAGGGACTAGAAGTCAAGGCCACTAGTTTCCAGTCTTATTTATTAAAGGGTGACGTTCATTTTATAAATTATGGTCACAGTTAAGGCATTTAGAAAAGTTTTGTGCAAATATATCGTTAATCAAAAAGATTTTTGGGATTCACCTATCATTAATACAGCCGTTCACACTGACCGAGTAATTTTGCTGGATGAATTTGCAGCATTTAATTTTTGAACAAAGCTCAATTTCCAGATCCAGATACACAGATTTAACCAATCAGATCACTGCATTTGGCAACAAGTGCACTTGTACTTCTTGTAGCGTGCACCGGTACAACATACACAACTATATGGAAATAGCAAAATAATACTACTGGATGCTGCAGAGTCTCAAAGCACCTTAACGGCGAGCATTAATAAAAGTGACTGTGTGATGATGTTGCGGCGCTGGTGTACTGGCCTTATTGGCCATTATTATTGTTACTCTTTATTCTTTTGTGATTTTCAAGTAGCTGCTGATATAGAATAGGAAACGTCACTGACAAAAAGTGACGTCAGTTTGTCTACTATCATCTTTTATGTACAGTCTATGAAAAGGGGCTTGATTTCCGCAATCCAGACACACGCTTGCACAGGTAGCCTATTTTATTTTGAAAGTCATGAAGCGTCATTTCCGGTGTGTTTCCGACTCATCGCGTGCATATTGACGCAGCTCACTGAGTCGCTGTAGGACAACCGGATAACGGGAACGGAGAAGGGGGTACAGGAGGAAAAAAACCCAAAAAAAACCGCGTCAGTGTGTCAGACGCAGACGGTTTTGCTATTGTATAACACAGGCCTTCAGCTTTTCCTCTCCCGGCTGCCCCTGCGCGGAGGAGCGGCCTCTTTTTTCTTTCATTTACCTTTTTTCCCTGTCCTCTGACCGCGGAGGGAGACGCCGAGCGGAGCTGCGGGGCTCGCCGTTACATCGGAGGACCTGCACATGTCGGTGCAGTGAGGGACCGCTTGTTTCCCCGCCCTGATACGGTTGAAGGAAGGCAGGAGGAGGAGGAGGCTGAGTGGACTATAACATCTTTAGCCTTCAAAGAAATCAAAGAAAAAAAAAGAAATATCAGGTTTTAACGGTTTAAAGAAGGACCCATTATAGAGGGGGGGAAACGAGGCAGGAGGACAACAGTGATGCCGCAGCTGAAGTGGGCCCAGATTGATGATTTTATGATATCATCATTCACCGCCAGGACCGAGCACTGATTTTTATTGATAAAAAAAATCGAGGAGAAGAAGCTGTGAAGTGGCACGTAGGGCGTTTGTTTGCGTCTGATCCGGATAAACAGGAGGTGCTTTTTGTCTTTATTTTTTAAGCCTATCAGGAGCTCAGCTGCTTGATATCATACAGCAAATAAACATCCAAATCCAGGCTGATGACTTAGGCGGTGTGTGACGCCAATACAGCAGCAGCAGCAGAGGCGTGTGTGTGTCTGTGTGTGTGTGAGGAGGAGACGCGCCTGTCTGAGCATCATCTGGTAGCTGTTCCAAGCTACTCCTGCACGGCGATGATACACAAGCGATTCTTTTCATTTGTGTGTGAAAAGCTGAAGCTTCGAGGATGATGATGACGATGACGAAGATGCTATTTCCAGTCCGGCTCTGATAGAGACAACGAGGCGCGCAGCACGTGACTGGACCCCTAGAAAATCTAGCTCTCTCTCACCTCTCCTCACCTCTCCTCCGCCTCTGCACCTTTCTCCCCCCTCCATACTTTCTATCTCTCACCCCTCTCCTCTTCCTCTCTCCTCCTCCACCACCACCACCCCTGGAGCCGCTTTTTTAAAAAATTCTGATCAGTTGATAATTCATCTGTGATTCAGATAGCCACCCACTCCCCCCCCCCTCCACCCTCATCCTCTGCTTTATTCAGCCTTACATCCTCTTAATAAACATTCCCCCTCGTTACACACTCACTCGCAAAAGCATCCACACCACCTCCACCTCCAGCCATCATGGAGACGACCAAGCTGCCTCCGTCCAGCCCGTCCTCGCCGACCACCAGCTTCTCGGTGCCGTCCGCGGAGAAGGTGGATGGCTTCCCGCGAAGGTCCATGCGCAGGGCCCGACAGAGGAGGTCCCACAGCTCCTCTCAGTTCCGCTACCAGAGCTCCCAGGTGGAGCTCACCCCGCTGCCCCTGCTCAAAGGTGAGGCTCTGATTCCCCCAAAGCAGCCACAGATCAATGTGAGAAACAACAGCTGGAACATGTGACACTGAGAAAGCTGTGACAGTAAAAGGTCACAGTCAACTCTCTGTTTTCCTGCTTTGCTCACCTACATGACTAAAACACAACACACACACTTATCCACTGACTGGTTTCCACTTAAACATGCTCTCCTCTCAGTCCTTGTCAGGTCTGACAGGCGGAGGTGACGGTGGTGGATTTGGTTTATTTAACAGATCTGCCGCCTGTCTTCTTTTGGATATGTAAAAGGCCTGTTGTTGTTGTTGTTGTTGTTTTTGCTGTTGTTGTTATTCTTCTTCTCCTCTGTGCTGGGACAAACAGTCCTTTTCATTAGCAGTTAATAGATTAACATGTGTCATGCATATTTCCCCCCTCCTGTCAAATGTCGGAAACAAGTGAAAAAATGACCATCGCAGTATTTCACAGCCAAATAATAACAGAATCAGTTTAAGGTCCTTTTAAAGCAGCAGTGAATTTTTGCAGTGGAGGAGCAGAAGTAGTCCGTGCATTGAATCATCGTTGCATTTCTGTCCTTTAGGTGGTTTTGAGATGTGACGGTTTCTCAGTCAGGTGACAGTGAAGTGTCTGTTTTTTTGTTTCAGACGAGCTCTCATCAGACCGTATGCTTCCTTTTGAGCTTTTTTATAATTTGTCTTTTGTTTTCTTGACGATGAATGGCTTGCATGGAGTCACTTCATTTGCATTGACCACTTTCACCCACATTAAGCAAACCCATCCAACATGTGCTTGCTTTTTGATTGGCTGATAGTGGGGTGGGGCGGGGGGGATGAGAGAAGAGTCTCTCCATCATGAGGCCTCTCCCCTTGACGGTCACTGTCAGTAAGACTGCCTCGGTGAATAAACCTCGTTGTAAAATCTGTGAAACGCCAAAGATGTTGACATTCAGGCTGGTGCAGCATCCACCATGAAGGCAGGCAGAGCTGCGCTATTTGCAGGTCTGTCGTTGCCATAGCTGTAATCCCAGAGCTGCAGTTACTACACAGAGGCCAATTTGATCTGTGCAGGCGTGTTGTGGCCTTTTAGATTCAAGCCCCGGGGATGCAAATGCACCACCCTGCATATCCTGTATATTCTACCTGCCTGGGTGAAGCCTCCTGGTCAAGCCACTAGGCATGGCCTGCTTTACGTGTGCATTAATGTTTGCGGTGGCTAAAGATTGTTTCTGTTTATCTTTTATAATGACGATTTGTTTCTTAGCCCAGCCTGGAATTGGTGCATCCCAACATCATACTGTAGAAAACCTGTGATTGGAATAGCTAAATGAATATGCAGTGGACTGTAAAGTAAAACAAAGATAGTAAAGTGAAGTAAATGCATGGATTCATGGATGATAGAATTTTCTGAATCCAGCTGTCAGCTCTGAGCTTTAGCTGTTTGAATGTCTTTGGTTTGTGGATGCTTGGTTTTGTTCTTGAACAGTAACGGGCGTAAAAAGAGTTCACTGACATTATGGCTTTTCTATAAACGTGCTGCAGCATTGATTTCATGCACAGGTTCTTTAACAGCAGATATTTTCTTGCTAGGCTTTGTGTTTAGGCAGCGAGTACACGTTAGAGCTGGCCAGATCAATAAATTTGTACTTTGCTTCACTCAGTCAACAAACCCCATCGCTTCATGTTCCGTCCTTTTTATATACGTTCTTGCTCTTCTCTGGCTTCGTGGCTTTACTCCTGTCTCTCTCGCTTGCGTGTACAGTACAAAAGCAGGTTGCATGTGCTCGTGTGTCCTTCTGACCCTTCTTTATAAGGTTACTCCCCCTTTCACTTAGCCTGCAATCTCTTCCCATTAACCCTCTGAAAAGAAGACCTCTGTGCTTTCAGAGGAGGCGTGAGCTGTGTGCGCCTGCGTTTTAACTTCTTCTGAAGCACGTGAGTGAGGGGTGTGTGCAGCAAGGTGATAAGAGGTTTTTACCGCATCAGTACAGCGCCTTTGGTTGAGGTGGGTCTCTGCACATGTCCTGTAGAAGTCCCAGTTACTGGACTACTGGTGCTGCACTGTTTCTGGACCCCCTTGAGGAACTGATAGTAAGATTCTGCAGCAGGAGAAGCGTCTGGTGTGGGGAAGTCTCTAACGGGAAGTATGTAGGCCAAGTGTAGACAGACTTGTGGGTGTTTTTCCCTCCAGGGAGTCACATTCTCTTTGTTAATTTGAACTCCTCCTCCTGCTTCTTGCACTCGAAGCTCTGAGCAAAGCTTCATCTCATTCTTGTGACATGACAGAAATGAAACTGGAAGACCTGACATTTAACAGCAAACTAGAATATATCATAGAAATACACATTTTTAGCAGTGTTTAAGCTGAGCAACAGTCAACTATTCTGGCTCACACAGAAAGCCCCCAGGTTGGATTCAAAGCTAGGCCCTTCTTGCTGTGGGGCAACAGCGCTAACCTTCCCGCCTCTGTGGCTGTTTCTGTGTTAGTTTTGTAACAGTCTGTTTGTCCAGGGTGTCCTTCACCTCTCGCCCTGTGGCATCTGGGGTAGGCTCAAGCACCCCCACAACCCTGATTTGGATCAGTGGAATGGATGGATGGCTTGGAGCAGAAATATAGAGAACCAAGGACTTTTTTAAAACATGTGCTTGATCTTGCTTCAAAACAACTTATTTGCACATGGAACCGTATATTTTCACTAAAAGCTCTCAGTGGCTTAAAGCCAAGTCTCTCGTTAGTGGTATTCAAAAGGCATTGCAGTGAAAAGTGAGTCACTAAATGTAAAATAGCAAACGTACAAAAGGGAGGTTTTGGGAAATTTGAATGAAAAACAACATTTTCAACTGAGTTCAGAGATTATGAATGACTGGACAGCAGGAATGATCTAACAGCGTGTCTTTTTCAGGTCAGAAGCCTTAAACAGGCCAGTCCTCTGGTCTCTTCCGATCCACGATCTGTAGTATTATCGTGTAAAGTTCCTCAAGCTGTTAGCTGATCTCTGAGAGGTTCATTTCCTCACTGACCATATTAATGGTCCCTTTTAGCATGGAATCCATTCATAGCTTTGCGATCTGAGTAGCCTGTGAAATATATCTGTCTTAAAAATATCTTTTTTTGTGGGTTAGACGAAGACAAAGTTCAGTCCAGAATCAATGCAGATCTCTAAGAACAGCAAGTGTAGCGAGGTGGACAGCAAATGTCTGGAAGTTGAGTTGTATTTGGACTTTTATTGAGTCACGTGGGATGGAGGGAAATGATTATCACAGTTATTTTGATCAATATCAATCACTAAATATAGTGCAAAAATGCTTTTACTTCACTGTCATGTAAACTGTTTGCACATTTGCTGCACCATTCCTTTGCAGCAGAATAAATTTGCTCCTCTTTATTTATCTAAATTCAGAGCATCTCATTGAAGAAAAATATGAAATATAAATTGTACCAAAGCTTAATGCAAAATTAAATCAACAGAGCTGCTTCACTTTAACACTGTGCTGCAGTCCTGTGAGTTTATCTTTGCAGACGAATGTGTGTTTGTGCGTCTCCTAGAAGCAAAATACATTCGTGGTGCCTGCAGGATGAATGTAAATAAAATAAACTTGAAACTTGTGTATGCCTTTCCACTTCTCCTGTGATCTTTGCCATCAGCGCAGGTTTGCAGAAAAAGGCGAAAACATCTTTTTTGTCCAGTGTCTTGACCATTTTGCTGAAGTCGTCGTTACTTGCTGATTATCGATCACGTATTGTGCCATATCTTGCAAACTGGGATGCGATTGCTTTACTGACTTCAGTTCAGACTTCATCTTTGTGGGTGGTGTTGACACGCCGACATGCTGTGCAGCCTCCTTTTCCTGGACGTGCGAGTTTGTGTCGGATGCTGCGCCGTTTCTCTTTGGCCTCGTGCACTGGTCGTGCTGCAGATTGTGGCGTGTTTTTAGACGGCTGACTAACTTGTGTTTCTTTGCAGTGCAGCCACGTGGCGCCCTTATGATTTCTTCTTGGTTAACGTCTCTTGCCCTAAATCTGAATTATTTCTAAACAACAGATGACGATCTGCTTCAAGGGACAAGCTCTTCACCTTCTGCTGTGCCACAAATTTGAATTTTGTGTCAGTGCTGTGTTATCTGTTGCATATCACGGAGGTCAAGCGTGCTCAGGGAACTCCACACTGTGCTGGCCAGGGAACAGCTGTGATTGGCACATGCAGGCACAGTATCAGGCGCCGATTTAGGGAGCGCTTGATTTGCCTTTGCTTTGCGTTTTGTTGGCAGAGCATGCAGTTTTAGTATTGCTCAGTCATTTTTATTTATTTTAATGAACCAAAATTGTGATTGAGTTTAAAGCTCAGCTGTCCAGCCCTACTTGGAGGTGGGTTGCAAAGCAGCTTGCAATTTTGAAGCAGTTCTAGACCTGCTAAAGCAGTTTATATAACATACAATTTATGAGTTACATTATTAGATGTGTAGACAGGTATCAGCTAATCTAAGGTTGCTGGATTTAAAAAAATGCTGGCAATGGACCATAATTAGCACCACATACTGATGCTGTAATCAGTCATATTAACTGTTACGGCGAATTTCGTAACAGTACGGCGAATAAAGCAGACTGGTTAAACTTTAGTGTAAGGGAGCAACTACCTTGCTAGTGTTTTGTTGAACAAGGTATTGACTTGTGATTGAGATTCAGGGCTGGTGATTTGACGTCGAAGTGTTTCTTGAATTACAAGATGAAGGAGTGTTATTAATATTATTCTTCAGATAGTTAGGGATAAATCAGACAAATTAAAGACTACTATGAAGGTTTTTTTGCATTAAAGATGAATAATGTGAGATAAACACATGAGACTTGTGTAAACAGGGAGCTGATCTGGAACACTGAACTGGCTAATAAAAGAGTAGCAGGCACAGCCAAGAAAGTCAATTAATCCACAGATGAAGGGTGAAGGATACTGGGTCCCTATAATCCTTTTTTACAGTGTATTCATAGTTGGCCTGCAGCATGCATGTGCG